TGACGTTGATTGCACCTCCATTCAAGTTGAGGTCGGATTGTAGGACCCGCTTGGTCAAACCTTCTCAGGTGTCTCGTCCCGTTGGGTTCCTTGCTAGTATGATTTCGCCGTGACGGATGAAATCATTTTATACACCTTCTGTTGATGCTCACCTCAAGCCAGTGGCTGCGTAGGCTAACATCACTGTATCCTCACATTACTGCCTCCACCCCATGTCGCGATACCGTTGCCCTTCATGTGAAGGTTGAATCTTTGCTCACGGGCATCTTCGATGGATTATTAAATCTTCCTTGTTAGAAGACAATACGGGTTTCCTGCACATCGTGGCTAACGTGGTATAACTCTAAATGGATATTAGAAATTTTGCTACCAGCATCTGTTATGGTTACCTGTTTGACTGTTGGCGGTTTGAGCATCCAAATATGTTTTAAAATTAAAACCTCCGCATCATTTCTTTTGAACCTTCGGTTTTAATGGAGTGGGTCGGTGCAGTTTCACTCAAGCGGGACACCACTAGTCCTTTGAACCAAATACCTGTAGAGGCCGCAGACTATGACCTAGAAATTCGCATGTCAAGGGGCCCGAATACGAAAGGCCCCAGCCCATTAAACCTAGTTTCGTGTTTGGGATGAACTTTGCTATTCGATCCATTATTTAAGTGCCTAGTATCTGTCATGATTTTTGTGTGCTCATTTATACTTATACCATATATACTCGAACCGCTGTATGTACATTTCAGCTCATGCGCGCTTGTTCTGATACAAGAAAAACGTTGCTTATCCTCGAAAACCTGGACTCTGTTCTAATTCATTCTCGGACGCATTCTAAACGTCCCGGTTTACTTGTCTAAGAACACAATGGACCCGGAGCTGCGACCTCGGTTCTTCGATGCTGACCCAAACTCCACAGATGCAGCGAAACGCCGAACTCACTGGTTTCGTACCTTGGAAACCTATCTGAAAATTGTCGACTCGTCTAAACCCGACAAACTTTTAACTCTCATCCACTTTGTGGATCCTTTAGTATACGATCACATTGCTGATCACACCGACTATGAATCTGCAATCAACATGCTACGGAAATAATGTATTCGTCCGAAAAATCTCATATGTGCACGATACCTGCTACAGACCTACAAGCAAGAGAATGAACAAGATATTGATCAGCACGTACAAAAACGGAAATCATCAGCCAAAGGCTGAGTCTAAATCTCTCTGCCACTGAATATCAAGATGAATGCGTGCGTGATTCTATAACTAACGGACTGGCGTCCACGTCCATCCGCGAGAAACTTCTGTCACAGAGCGAAATCTGGACCAAGCATACCAGCTGACTGGATGCTTTGAATTGGCTTACAAACAGTCACAGTCATATGTTAGTAAAGAACCCACATCTTGCTCTACGATCCCACACATTTCAAAGAATCCCGAACTGCTTGTTGATCCGACGACTGCTGCTGTAAAATCCATTCTGTTCAGACGTCAACCGTTCCTAATAACTGAACGTCGCATCATTCGGACGGATGTGTCACGTGCAGCACACGGACCAAACGAAGGCATGCCCTGATTGGTCAGAATGCCAGCCAATCCGAGTCAGGCACCTTTGACTAGACGCTTCGCACCCCTTCACGGAGACTCTGGCACGACCTTGTGGAACACTCTGTGACTACCCTATAAATACAGTTGTAATAATTTTCCTTTGTATCCATAAAGGGCTGTCTCGAGCTACCGTGCCTTTTGATATACCATAGTGGGCGGAGCAGGAAGCCAAGGGGCCGATGCAGAGTTGCACTACCGTTCAGTAAGTCACAGCGCATTCAGACATGTTATTTCTACGGTTGTGATACACATCCTCGTCCAAAGTGTCCCGCTAGACAAACCGTCTGCAATCTTTGTGGTGAACGCGGTCACTTCTGCTGCGTGCGCCGTTCAAATACAACGAAGCCTACTTTATCGCCATTATTCGTTGCAGGATCTCCTACATGCCTAGCACATGCCATCGGAACCATCGAATTCAATGGCATCGCTCTCGGTGCTCTGGTCGATACAGGGAGTTCCTGCAGTTTCATTAACGCTAAGGTCGTGAAACTGCATAACTGGAAAATTTGCCCAACTTTCTCAGTCGTCACAATGGTGTCTACATCCCTATCCTGTCGAACTACTGGTTACGCTTATGTTTCTGTCCGATACAGAGGTACTTCATACAATAAAATGAAGCTGCTTGTAATGCCAAACCTCTGCATTGACGTTTTACTAGGGCACGACTTTCTATGTCTACATGGCAAGGTAAAAATTTCGTTCGGCGGGAATCGTGGTGCGCTCACCATCTGCGGCCCAGCGGATGTAAACGTTGAATCACCATCACTTTTCGCCAACTTGACTCAAGATTGCAAGTCTGTTGCAACCATATCAAGAAGGCATCATCCGGATGATGAAAAATTCATTCGCGCCGCAGTTGACCGCTTATTGCAAGAGGGCATCGAGCCGTCAACGTCTCCCTGGAGAGCGCACGTTTTGGTTACCAAGACTATCAATCACAAACGCCGGATGGTTGTTGACTGCAGCCAAACTATCAACCGGTCCACGTGTCTGGATGCTTATCCTCTGCCACGCTTGGACGAAATGATTGAAGAAATTTCGCACTACGAAGTTTACAGTACATTAGACCTCTTGTCTGCTTACCATCAAGTCCCCATCTCTGCATCCGACAAACCTTTTACAGCATTCGAAGCATGTGGTGGCCTATCTCAGCTTTGTCGTATACCCTTCGGTGAAAGGTGTTGCGTATGAGAACTATTAACAATATAATTACGACTGAAAAGTTGAAAAGCACGTATCCCTGCATAGACAATGTGACTATTTGTGGCAATACCCAAGATGAACACGACCTCAATCCCCAATCATCTTCAAGAGCTACAAGGAAGTATGGGGTCACGCTCAACGATGACAAAACAGTCACTGCTTCAAAATTCATCCGACTCCTAGGTTATGAGGTTTCAAAGGCCAGACCCTGAACGCATGGAACCCATCCGTCAGTTACCTCCTCCGCGTACTACCACGGAAATGCAACGCGTCATCGGTATGCTTGTATATTACACCCATTGGATATCTTCATTTTCTGACAAAATCAACAAACTGGTAAAGAATAAAACATCCCCCCTGACGACGTCGAACTAGCCTTCGACAGCCTAAAAAACGAGCTAGAAAATGCTACGCTAATTACACTAGGTTATAACAAGCCTTTGGTTGTTGAAACGGATGCCTCCTATATGGCTATAGCCCCATCCCTAAGCCAAAACCATTGACCAGTGGCCTTCTTCTTGAGGACACTTAATCCGAGCGAGAAGAATCATTCTGCCATCGAGAAGGAGGCCTACGCTATCGTTGAATCCATCAGTAAATGGCGGCACTATCTAATCGGAAGACCTTTCAAACTGATCATCGATCAGCGTTCAGTCACATTCATGTACGGCGGTGGACAGAAGGGTAAAGTGAAAAACGACAAGATACAACGATGGAGGATTGAGTTGTCCGAGTACAAATATGATGTCATATACCGACCTGGCAAGGACAGTCATGTCACAGACACTCTGTCAAGAAATGCATGTGATTCTATGGGGAGCAATAGTGAACTCGGACAGCTCCATAACTCCCTCCGCCATCCCGGCATTACCCGTATGTTTCATTTTGTGCATTGCAAGAAGACGATGTCAAGCGAGTTATTTCCTCCTGAAAAGTATGTGCTGAACTGAAGCCAAGATTCTGGAAATCCTCTGGTAGACTCATTAAAGCAACAACCTTTTGAACGCCTGAGTTTGGATTTTAAAGGTCCTTTGCCATCTGACACACGCAACCGCTACTTACTCACAATGAGTGACGAGTTCTCTAGATTCCCATTTGCATTTGCACGCGCGGATATGACCTCGGTAACTGTGAATGACTGCCTCACACAAATCTAGTCTGTCCGGAATGCCAGTCAATATCCATTTCGACAGAGGCTCATCGTTCATGTGGTCTGAGATCAATAGCTTTCTTCTGCAGAAAGTTGTTGCTATGAGTCATACATCGGCTCATAATCCACAGAGTAACGGTCAAGTTGAGCGTCTCAACAGTACCCTGTGAAAAGCAATAAGATTAGCGTTGAAATCTCACAATCTTCCACCTTCCCGTTGGGAATCGGTACTCCCTGATGCTCTACACCGCCTCCGATCAGTGTTATATACGGCCATTAACTGTACTCCACACGAACGTTTGTTCCAATATGCACGTCGCTCAACATTTGGAATATAGTTGCCATCTTGATTGACCAACCCTGGTCCAGTTCTGCTGCAACGGGGTGATAGGTCATTCAAGTACCAACCACTAGTAGAAGAATTCTACCTTCTGAACTGCAACCCACACTACGCACACATTGTTCATCGAGACGGAAGAGTCGAAACCTTGTCCCTTCGCCCTCTAGCCCCAGCGGTTCCGAATACATCTGATAATGTTCTCAATCTGTCTGAATCCAATGAGGATACCGAACACCCAGATGCGACTGAAACAACCGGACGTCAGCCTGATAGCTCTCTCTGAATCTTCGTCGGTACAGTCCTCCGAATACCAACCGAGTTATCCTGAAATTCTAGAACAACAGCGACGCATGCTTACGGTTTGAGGAACAGAGAAGCCTGATTCAGTACTTCACGTCTACGTTCGCTCATATGTGTCCATTCAAACAATGTCGGGGTGAATGTTATGATTTTTGTTTGCTTATTTTTATACCTACCGTATATACTCGTAGTGAACCTTTGTATGTTCATTTCACCTCATGCATGCTTGTTCTTAGACAAGTGAAACGTTGCTTATACTCGAAAACCTGGACTCTGTTCAAACTCGTTCTCGGACACATTCTAAACGTCTCAGTATCATAATCTAACAACAGTAAATGGGGGCACAGACGAATAATCTTTCCCTCTCTGTTTCAAAATAAAATGCTCCATTTCTTTTTATTTGATTTAGCCCAGAAAGCCCTCCACTCTCTGAACAGCATACGTTGTGCGGTGCCAAATTACCAATATGGAGCAGTTGGGAACGACAGATTGCACTTTATCTTTTAAAGATATTGGTGTTTGCCCTGAGATAATTACCATGTTACAGGACAAAGGTATAACAAACCGGCCAGAAGTGCAAGTGGTNCTGCCATAATCGATGGTAAGTGAGCTTTATCTTCGTTCAATTTCAGGCATGGATGTTGTCGCATGCGCCAAAACGGGATCGGGAAAGACAGCAACTTTTCTTATACCGATAATTCAGTCATTGATGACGGAGTTGAAGCCATTCTACGCCCTGATAATCACACCTACAAGGTAAGAGGATGTTTTTTCTTCATATACTGTAAGTGGAGTTTAGTGGTTTCATCGCTTTTACGTGTTATGTCGTGGTTACAGTCGCGTTCTTGGTCTTTTGGTTCACACTAGTGTGAGCGTTTCCTGGACACAAAGTGTGAGCTCCCGGAGGGATAATGGTAAAGGTGGTTTCTCGCGTATTTTCGACACTGTTCTGGCTAAAATATCGTGTGTGGCGTAATCCAACCATAACCAATCATTGTTGAATGTGGCTGTTGCTCAATGTAGACGGTGACAGTGAAGACATTATCAGTTTCTTTTTAGATCAAAGTGACTTTAGCTTTAATCTTTCCTGTAGATCCGTGTGACTTCGCCCAATAGTTCACTTAAGGCCACGAAATCTTTGGTTAAAGAACGTATCAAACATGTACTCGTACTTTTGCATGGAAGATCGCGATTAAGCCCGGGTGGGTAGTAACGTTTAATTCAAACCTGTAACGACTGCATGCATCAAGAAGTGGCGTCCTAGTCTAATATTTTCACGACTAAGTTGCAATAAACGAGGAACCAACTGGAACATTACAACTCGCGAAGTTCAGGCTTGTGTACTTCATTGACCTCGAGAACCACACCAATTATTTCAGCCTCTTGAGGCATGTTGTTGGATGCCAGTCGTGCAAATGATGTTAGTCTCCCNTTCCGCTGATAATAGGTCCTCCTCGATGGTGGGCGTGTTAAGGCAAGAACATTTGTTTCATGGACGAGCAAATTTTCTGGAATCAGTAACAGTGCCTTACACGGAGCAAGTGAAGAATAGGCAATGTCGCGCTCAGTGGTCACATACCCCTTACCTTCACCGTCGTTGGGATAACGAATAAGTACTGACAGCGAAGAAAACCAAATTATTGAAAATCGATTTCACTCTAGGTTGTGCTATGGACTGCAGGCAGCCCTTCCAAATGTAGCTCAAGTCCTCATTAGTGTGACCTTTGAGTCTAAGTCCCAAGGTGGGACGTAAACGATTTCTTCACCCAAGAATAACTGGAAGTGTCACTGCCACATGGATTTTCGTTGTTCCAATTCTCTGGCTCCGTTCGTCACGCAATCAGACATTTGTCAGTTAACTGTCATTTCTCTCAAAACGCCCGATTCACAATTTGCCACACGACCAATGGAATGGTATAATGAGCTCAAGAGATTTGTTGTCTCTCAATTCCTAACAACTGCACAATTGCACGGATTTTGATTTTCCCCAACATCATACTTTGAGGCTCCGAAGTGCACGTAAAAGGCTAACTCTGTTGTTCACCGTAACATGGGCCCAAGGCATTTGACCACTCCGACGCACTCATGGTACTCGTTGTATTTAAGTTGTAATCTTCATAAAGGAAACTACTCACAAGGTTGCTGAAAACTCTTCGACAGCCCACGACCGGTTTCGCCCTTCTTGAGGCTCATCAGGTAGCTGCAATTCCTGAGTTTCCGTCAATTTTATGATTTACTTAATCCCAAATTGCACAGTTGTAGAATATCGTAAACGAGAGATTCAGTTGAGTCTCTCGTGAAAACCAAATTGATTTGCAAATGAGTGTATTTATCGAAAATAAGTTGTAACCTGTTCTAGAGCCGAAGTATGTATTGTTTGTTGTTAGTATGAAGAGAGTTTGGAATGTATCAGCTGGGCTTTCCTCACACTACCAACAAACTATAAGTGTCTCAGAAAAAGGCATGATTCGAACAAGTGAACGCTTTATCTGAGACGTTTTCAGTCGGGGAACCCGTCAACACAAGACGTGTGAGTTTCGCGATTGGAGGATGCGTGCGAATACATCCTGTCTAAGTGCAGTTTAATCACTGCTTGTCAGCCGCTCGTGACTGGAGACTTTATTCTTCAGGAGGTGGCGGGTTCCAATCGCCCCTAAGATTTGCACTGTTGATAAGGGGGAAAATAGCTGTACAATGTTTCTGGGCTTTTCGGAGGTAATGTTCACAAAGGCACTAGGTGTGAGATTTAAGGCTGCTAGCTACACTCATTTGCACAGTATCGAGCGATAAAAATGACTTTCCGATTTGATAACCTCACAGAAGGTGTGTTGCTGTAACCCGACGTACCACAACACTGTCACTTGAATTCTTGTGGGAGTTCGGTGACTAAACTATTATGTAGTGTATGCAAGATACAGCGGACTGTTACACCTACTGAATAGTTGTGGTGAGAACCGTTGATTCAGTAAGGCTTTGCAAATCTCCTGTTGAACTCCCGTTGTGCTTCGTTCTCATATTATTCAAACAGTGGCCCTCGAGGCCAACGAATGCTTACTTATAGTGGTCCTCAAATATAGCTACACACTTGCTTCCGAGATCCCACGTTCATATTCGCATCCTTGTATATTTGTTGCTGATTCTTCTGTTTTCTTTAGAGAATTGGCTCACCAGATTGGAGAACAGGCCGCCGGCCTGAATTTGATTCTGGGCACATCATTGTGCAATGTTTTGATCATAACGGGTGGTAAAAGCATCGTCCACCAAGGCATTGACCTTGCTCGTGGTCCTCATATTGTCGTAGCCACACCCGGGAGACTTGCAGACCTATTACGAACACAACAGGCAAATCTCGACGAGCCGTCCAATCCCAGTTCAACGGAATGGTCACTAATACGAACCCGAGTTGTTGTTTTAGATGAGGCTGACAGGTTACTGGAAGACAACTTCGGTGCCGATCTTAGTTTGATCATGAGTGCACTACCAGACCGTCGACAAACACTGCTGTTTAGCGCTACATTCAGCGACGCCGTCAAAACAGCTGTGGAGGCTTCGAAGGCGATGGCCTTGGAGCAGAATAAGCGCCCTCCTCTACTGTGGCAACCAACTGAGGTCATTGGAAGCTCATCGAGTACAGTGGGTGCTAGCACTGTGGATACTTTGAGTCAGTTCTACTTACTGATGCGGCCGGAGCACAAAGAAGCGTTTCTCGTTCATACGGTTGACCAGTTCCTCACAGAAAACCCGTGTTCTTTGATAATTGTATTCACAAACAAGTGCAAGTGGTGCCATCTGATCGGTTTAATGATAAACAGTTTGGGCATGAAAACAGTTCTTTTGCATTCCGCGATGCGGCAACGTGAAAGGATATCCTCTTTGACCCTGTTTCGATCAAGTCAGGTCCGCATTTTAATAGCCACAGATCTGGCTAGTCGCGGATTGGATTTTCCCACCGTTGATATTGTTATAAATCACAACGTCCCCATTCGACCCAAAGACTACGTGCACCGTGTTGGCAGAACTGCTCGAGCTGGTAAAACTGGACTTGCTCTCACACTTTGTGATTTATTTGAGATTAAGCGGTTACGTGCCATTCAGGACTTCATAGGTGAGTCCTTTTGAATGTAAGTTGAACATGTTTTGTCAGAAAGTCCCTTAAAATGTCTCTTGGTGACTTCTGATTTTCAATTTGTCAAACCCATTGGGCAATGTTTTAAACTGCTCTAACAAATTATCGGTTCTCAAGTTTCTCAGCCAGGTATTGCAAATTCTGTACCCTTATGTTCGGAGGGCTCAATCGTAGTGGAAACCTTGTCTGATGGTATATATATGATGATGTAACTTTCCAGTTTTTTCAGTATGGTAGAGCTTGAGTGTGTGTGTTACGGTCTGTAAGCCTTCCATCTACTTTCTGATGTTGTTCCCGTCATTCAATTTTCAATTCACAAACACTGTTTGTTATGCAACCTCATTTTCCCAACCCTTTCAGATGTCATAGCGATAAGATCTACAAGCGGAACTTCGTTTGTCTTTATTGGCAGTCTTCTTTCAGATCATTCGCACGCTCTTTTTAACTTCATACCACCGAGCGTTTTCTCTCGTTTACTCAGGCAAGGACTTGAGTCCCTTTGAAGTGAACGAAAAGAAAGTGGCAAAGATCATCACTGAGGTTTCAATGGCTCGAAGGGAAGCAGAAAGGGTAAGTTGGCTTGTTCAACTTTCACGGTCTTTTCTCCAAGAAGTTGGATCAAATCCGGTTTGACGAGAAGCGGGAGATCAACAAAGCTAAAAAGGTAACTTAATCCCACACACCAATGTTTTTTCTTCTAGATGGTGAAAACTACCAGTAGAGAATGACGTCTACTATTACTTCTTCATGTGAAGCCTTGTGTACATAATACACTCTTCTGCATTCTGCCTTTCTAACACTCCAAGCGAAAAGTGGAAGAACCTGGCTCTCACTGTCACTACCGGCTCCAGACTTCCTTTGGACTTAGTAACTAGCGCTAAAGTTGTGGATGCCTGTGCCCGATCTCGTCCCTTCTCACTGAGTTCAGTCACTTGTATGCTGTCCCGTCCTGTCAACATGGTCGGATAACTGAATCTAGCAAGTAAATACTGGTGTTTACGGTACTAGGACTCGATAGACTGGCGTACTATGCCGGTCAGGCAAGGCACCTGAAGGAGCGTGAAACGCGACCACATCACTTGCGACAGGTGCATTAAAGTATGCTGCGACGGGTAATTCAAAGGTCCCAAATCAGACTACTAGGAGCATGAAAATACCTGGGCGTTTTCGAAGGAAGCATTCATTTGCACATCAATATGTTTTCTTTACAGGAAACTCAACTGAATCTCTAGTTCATGACATTCTTCAACTGAATGTGCTGCACAAAGACCGCCTTATTTTCCAGTTGGTACGATATCCGAGATATTGTGGTGCATTTTCATAAAGGGAACTACTCACAGGGTTTCTTTCGAGTAGTTTCCGTTACGAAAATACAAATGAGTATTGTCTAGACGCAATAAACTACTCGTGAGGTCGCTCAGAACTCGTCGACGGCCCATGACCGGTTTCGCCCTTCTTGGGGCTCATCAGACAGGTGCGGTCCCCGGGTTTACATTAACCTTATGTTCTACGGAACGTCACAAACGAGAGACTCAGCTGAGTCTTCTTCAAAGCCGAATTCGTGCGCAACTGAAAGCATTTGTCGAAACCTGAATACTTGTTTCACCAACAGGCAGGTTTGTGTTGGTAGCGGAAAAAAATGTTGCATTTAAGACGGTAGTTTCAGATAGAGATAGGATTCAGTAGCAACTCCCCCTACAAAAGGTTGGAAGTACACAAAAACGATAGAGCAGCGGAAATAAAGCGTCCAAAGTCGTGGATGGTTTAGCAGAGGCCATAAACGTCACAATAAATTCAATGTACACAGCAGCTCAACCGCGGGTTTGTTCAGAGCGGCCCGGTGCTCAGTAGAAACTATATAACAATGATATACCTGAGACGCACTCAAACGAGCGGAACGGGTCAGGTGGAGAGACACTGATAGTAGGGACACATGCCGCATGTAAAACACTTGGAATGATGGAGCAGATAGCAAAAGCATCAACACCTTGGACCACTTGAAAGCTAAAACTGAAAATAAACATGCTGTACAAGGGTACAGAGCACCGAAGAAAGCGTTATGAGATGTCTCCGGTTGCTGCATGAATGGAAGTCAAGTGTCTGAACTCATCGGTAGAGCTCAGTGGGGTTTGTGCTGTGTAAGCGGGCTGCTGACAAGGGAAATATTCAAAGTATGTAGAAGAGGGTTCTTGGACAGGAGTCGGCTGTAGACCATTTTCTATAGCCATATTGCTAGCAGACGGGATTGGGAGCAATTGGGGGTGCAAACGTTGAGTGTTATTCGCATCAGGGTAGTTGAATGACATACCTGTCACCGAACTAGCATGTAAACCTGTTTGTAGTGGCTGTTGGTAAGAGTCAGAAGTAGTGGAAGATGATGATATTGAGGTAGGGAAATGCACTGGTTGAAAGTCTGAGGAATACCAATTATGGAATACCGAAGAGGTAGTAGAGTCCGGTACCGGAGACCGGGGATAAAAACTGGAACGTGAGGATGGGTCCAGTCCGGGGGGTTGATAGGGGTCACTGGTGGCAACAGGCCTAGTGACGGATGAATACTCCAAATGGCGTGACGGGGAAAGTGACGTGTTATCTGGGCCGCGTGAATCTCCGGCGGGAGCGGAAGGAAGATAACAAATGGCAGACGGGCGTGTCATCCCGCTGTCGGAAGCACGAATGAGGCATCCACCAGGAAGTACGGAAGTCTGACATGCATTGAGAGGATCCGCGTTATTTTCAGTGGGGTGTGTCATAGCGGCATCGTAAAACAGAGATTGGTGTACGGTTTCTCGATCAGCCGTGCCACCGCGTACGACATCTGCAAGAGCGATTGCAAGAAAACATATGAAACATCCACGAATGTACCATAAATTATGCAGCGTTGAAGGAGAACAGAGAATGAATCCCCTAGTCTGGCTTCATCAGAGTGGACGGTTTGCATTTACCTTAAAAATGCCTACTAGGTAACCCGTTAAAGTGGAGCTATTAGTTTGTGACTAGACATGCAGGCAATGAGCCTATGTAAAAACCTTAAACTTGCGTGACTTTGGGGGTAACACAATCCATCCTATGTCTACTAGTACGAATCAAGGGTGTCTGAACCGAGATACATGATCTACGGAAGTACCCGCAAGAAACAACGGGCGAAATTTTCAATGTCTATGGGTTTTCAATGATCCGGCGATCCATTCGTTGACATCAAAGCCTTTGGACGGCTTTCCGACTTGACCAAACGATCGTTATTCCGATGGTGGTGGAATTTTAATCGACATTTCGTCCTAGAATTGGTTGCTGTATGTCGGAAGCCCCGTACGGCCGATTCAATTTTGTTGGGAATGGTCATCGGTGCGCATCTTACGAAACCCTAGGGAGATTCGAACTTGCAAGCTCCAGCTAGCGGTCGAAAACCGTACTGTTAGGTCAGGAGTAGTTGACTCACCAGCTGTCGTTGTTCTCTTTTCGAAGCACGTCATTTGAGCGTATATCCTGAAATTTGCATCCTCAGATGGATGGAAAGTCAAACGCTTGCTGAATTCACATCTCGTGCATTCTTAGTTAGTGTCAGCGAGATAACCAGTGTGATTTTTGTTGTTATTCCAACAAATAAACAGTCCGAGGGCTGCATCGGAGTAAAGTTGGGTAAGAGTACTTTCAAGTGTTAGACACTGCCGATGTAACGGTGGATGTTACTGATGAGGCGTGCGAGTAGTATGTGATTTCCTCAAGTCCGCTTCGCGTCTATTGAGAAGTGGGATTTATTACGGAATTTGTGGAATCGCTTTGTAGCATTTATTTACGTTTGAGTGACAGTCAGTGAGTATCCGGGAAAGTTCAGGAAGACCTGTTCGAGAAGAAGACGGATACAGTTTTTATAAACAAGATGCATGAGGGTTTTGCTTCCCCGTCCTATGGTCTGTAACTGTTCAGATGGTGTTTTCCAATAAATCACTCCGCAGCGAAGACCTCCTTCTTTTTACCGATAGCCAACTAGAGGTTCCAGTTAAAAGCAACCGATTGTATGAGATAAAGGATGTTAATTTTGAAACCTTTATCTTGGATTAGCACATAATTATTCTATGTTGAATTTTCCAGTTGCCCAACAGTTCAAAAAACGCATGTAATGTCGGTGCGTTGACTCATACACGCCGTAAACTTATCGCCCTGGTACGATTTTCTCAGGATAATAATCTAGACTGCTTGATACTGGAGGCACACAAAGAAGCCTCGGACATGTTACACGACTAAAAAACGAAAGACCATCCATTGTCCGACAGTCAGTGAAAGTATGGATACGTACGTGATGAGTAGGGCTCCGACGGATACTCACACTCAACCACGGGTACGAAATTGTCGGTGGCTGTTGGTTGCAGGTGGGTATCACATGCCTGGTTCGCAGCATCTAAGATACGTTCGCCTCCGTTGTCAATGCTTCCGGTATCTGAGGGATGGTCGCGGGTGAGCTCACTACCAGGCTGAGATAAGAAGTTGGACGCATGTGATCGACTGAGAAGATCACGTGGACTTGGTTGCGATAAAGATGAAAATACAGGATGAAATTGGTTAGAGGATTCTATTGGGGGTCGCCAGTATCCACTTCCCTCAGCAATGGTGGAATCAGCATATTGAGTGGAGCTTCGAAGCTGAGGGTGGAATGGTAGGATCATACGAGGATGTCCCGTGAGTGGATCGGTTTCATAGTCGGCTTGAGCATCAGAAAACGACTCGGAACCGGACGATATGACATTACCACGAAGAGCCGCTGTACCACACGAAACGGAGGCACTGGACTGAAGCGCCCTGAAAGTAACATGAAAGGTACGACTATCCGTGACAGCTAAACTGGATATTGCGACACAGAAACCTCTCCTCTAATATACGAAGATTGTTGACAGTTTCCAACCGAACATGTTGGGTTTTTTTTATCATAATGAGGTGCTTCCGTCACTGGAAGATTGTTGACAGTTTCCAACCGAACATGTTGGGTTTTTTTTATCATAATGAGGTGCTTCGCGTCAATGGAAGAAAAAGTTGGAAATCAACTGAGATATGTACCGAAAAGGTATTTCAATAACCAGATGTCGTGGAACTACGCAGTTAAGCCAGGAAACTAAACACGGCTACAGAAGGCTCACTTGGAACGAATCAACATACCTTATCAGTAATTATTTGATGCAGGTTTACGTTACGACTAACAATGCTCACTAAGGGACGAAAAAAGCTAACATAAGGGTTCATACTTGTTCTGATAAAACCTGTTTTATGTATATGACTAACAGGACTGGGGAGAAAAACTACCAACGCGGCACTCAAGTTGAACCTTTCCGGAGCAATGCTTATCCACGCGGAAGAAACAAACGAAGAGCGGGTAGTTTTACTACAGCCCTATGGATAAATGAACAGCTTACTTTAATGAGGTTGTCGTACACACTATATACTCCACCTCGTCGTTGAACGGATTTGAGAATGCAAACAGGTTACATCGAACTGAAACCGGCTCGCTTGACACCTGACCTTGAAGCAGAATGAGCAACGAGAAAACCTCTCCTTTGAACTTCCAAGCTGGAATTGATGGGGATGAATACTAATGATGATGCGAATGTTGGACAAAATCCGAACACTAAGTAGCGAATTAGCAATGCCGAAACATAAGATAGGACAAATGGTGCTTACCGCTTCACCTGGCGGCATCTAGTGGAGAGCTCTACTCACACGAAAAACAGGTATGTGGGCTGTGTTATCTAAGAAAAAAAACAGCAAAGATGCATTGCAAGCTGCGTCCATCACCGAAGTGACGGCCGTTGCGCACCGCGACACAAAGTGCGGCAAGTTTCGGCTAGGGAAGATTCCAGGCATTTGAGAAACCCGAACGTCGTAATTCAAGGTTTAATGGTCTAAAAAGCAGTTAACTTTACAACGACCATAGGGTGAACGTATATACACAAAGGGACGCAAAAATATGCGCAATGTTTGCTGAGTATCATATGGAGTTAAACAGTTCCAGATTCGGTTTGGACATAAGATATGCATCTAAATTGTTCTTGAAAATGGATAAACTCGGCGAATGTACAACATTGGGAGGTAGGGAGTTCCAAATGAAACATACACGGACCGCAAAAAAGTTCCCTCGACAGTTCACCCTCGAGTGAGGTACAGACGATGACAATTTCATTGACCTCAGTGGAACATGATCTGTTTTGGAGAAGGGTCATGGAGTAACAAGTGCGTGTTTACCGTTAATTATTCATTTTTCAACTGAACTCCAACACATCCTTAGGTATGTGAGTATCACCGTATCGCGTGCTTCACAAGAATTAGCTAGCGGGAGCAAGATGACTCGGTCCTGCCAGTGTCTAAAGAATTAGTGTTTCAGGCACCTGCTATCAGCTCAAATCCATAATCGGTTAAATACGGATATTTCGTAGATGGAACCCACAAGGGCCCAAATAAGACCACCTGAAACGTTCGGCGACTAGTAGGGCCGGCAAAAGCAACTGCCATGAAGGTATGGATGCTATAACCAGAAGTTCGGTTGTGGATAAAAATGGTACCACGTCAACGGCGTAATAATTCAAATAGTGACCAGGGGGGCACGGGGTGTTATTGTTATCATAAGGGTTGGCACAAGCCTCACGAAACCGATTACAGTAGATAGATCGTTGCTGTAGGGGGATGCGATTATTGGGGTTTGACTGGGAAAGAACAATATGATACACACGAAAATGAATTTTGACCACATACCTCGATCAAATATATCTTGGAAACTGCCCTTATCCTTGCTAGAGGGCATCAGATCGGTGAACAACTGACCAAGAACTTCATCTGTGTCGAGTCCAAGTACGTTTTTGATTCGTTGGTCACAGAATGTGATGCGCATATCTGCGGAATGGCGAGTAACAAATTCATGGGAACGTCGTGGGGACAAATCCACTGCATCCGGTCGGTTGTTGATCTGCAGTCGCCCTAGCGCTACCAAACAATGTGGCATTTGTGGATCAGTTGGTTGTTCAAGTTCCGACGTGCAGTTGCCGTTGGCATCATGACCTTGGTGACCGAAATCCGAGTCGTCAGGAATAAGTCCATCTGCGAGGGGATGGAACACAACATTGTTAAGAGGACGATCCAGTGAAGAAATTTTACGTAAGGGCCAACAGGTTGTATCGGCTAGGGAAACACCCTATCCACTGTCTGGGAGTTCTCAAACCCATTTAGGCGGGGCTAACACAGTATCTCAGGAGGATTTGTTACTTGATTGAATTCTGAATGTCGTTACCTGCAATGCCGAATCTAGCGCTGGCGCTTGGAAATTAACAGAACAACCACGGAATCAACCGGACAATCGGAAACGAAAATACCAAGAAAGCCAGTGCTGTGAGTCGCTAGCAACAGACCTTAGTCAATGGACCTCATTCTCGCAAAGGAACATCACCCAGTTAGTAGCTACCTCCAATTAGTAGTAGTATACAGTCCGCCTCCTTACTGCTATGATATGGAGATCCTGAATTCGGAAGACCATCGACTAGCTATGCGTAACCTGTGATAATATTGGTGCAACTTATGACAACTAGAGCATTCCGCAATCGAACAAAAGGATGCATAAACAATGATCCAAGCAACATGCACCCAGAATACTACTTATAAAAGTTCGGTTAATCGAAGAACGGGAAGACACCACTGAACCATAACACAACATACTGATTTTTAAAAGAAACCGTATCATTGTAAAGGTTAATTGGGTTATTATCACGATTAGGACAAGCAAAAAAGCCACATCGTATATCGATGTACGTCGTGCTACCGACTCACAGAGTTCGGTTTGTAATTATCACAAAGCTTTAGTAAATGGTAGCATCATTTTTACTTTCAACTTGAGTTCAGCTGACCTGGAATGTACGGACATAAACCGCTGGACAGCAAAAATGGTCAAACTCAGATGGTGCCGACTGTCAACTTAGTTGGTTAAATCAAGTACAGATAATTGAAGAAAAAAGAATAAACCGAGCAAGAACCGGTGCACTTGCTGGTAGTCTTTAGGAGAAGCTGACGAGACAAACACGCGAGTCGAGCTTGTGTGACACACTCGATGACCATAAATGTGTACATGTAAGACGCAGAAGACAAGCAGCATGAATGTGAGGCAAGAAAACAGACTCCCTAGCAATAAACAAGAGTTTAAAGATGCTTCGTCTGCTCACCTCGTGTGTGTGTGCGTATGTATTTGCCTGACAAGACTCCAGAAACGTATGAGCACGTGCATGTACGGAGAGGCAAAAATAGCTGCTGTCTAACATAGTGGGCGAACGAATAATTTGTGTGTGTGTGTGTAACTCGTGAAAAAGCCTATGCAACGCTGTTCAGGGAGAGTCAAGACTACGATGGAACTTGACGCTAAAGAAGTTCCCACACCGGGTACAGACTTGTCTCCGTCAGTTGGACGAATTGAAAGCTGGGATGGGCGGGGTGAAAACGAAGTGATGGAAGCGGGAAGGGAAGGAACATGTGGAATGGATGGTTGCGGAGTCCGCTGAGTTACCTGAGCACCGCCTCAAAATGCATCGATCAGCCAGACGCACATACATAAGATGAACGGCTTTCCCTGACCGAAACAACTCAGTGCATTAGAAAAATACCAAACTGCACACATGGAAGATCGAGCGAAACCACGAGAGAACGCTGTTTGCATGACAAACGGCCGAACAGTTAAAACTGATGGTCATGCACCCGTGCAGACATAAGCATAATGAAAAATGCTGAGCTCGCCTGTAATTAGCAGCTTATAGTGAGGAGACTCAAGAAACTGAAAATGTTGACCAGAGTGTAGTGTGCTGAAATCAAGTTGGCCACCGTTTACCTTTAAATGTAACTTCTATCAGGTTCGTAGTAGAGCATGTCCCCCCAAATGAGCGGTAGATGTACCATACCGTGAAGTCACCGGTTGACCATACAACCTACACAGGATAAATCCTAAATACATAATACTACTATTCCTTACGACAGCAGCCTACCGACTTCGAGAGAAAATTTCAATGTAACCCGCACTCTGCTCAATATAAGCATCCTACACCAAAACGAGCGTTCATTGGTTGACTGTGCATCATTCTCCTCGGTCTGGGGTAACTAGGATCAGAAAATGTACAGTACGTCGACCTATAAACCCGTAAGTGAGCAACCCGAATGTCGGTGGGTGGACGTCTCAACAAAGCTGTCCGTAATCGCAGCGTTCAGTCAACGTGACAAACGTACGCACGTGCCAAAAAGTGAAACACTTAACTTCAATTGTATTTCACGCCTCAACAACAATTGCTCAGCTGAAAGCCGTCTGGTGCCTAGCTGCCTTGGTACAGGAAGGAGGTAAGGGGGCTGAGATACCACCAGGTTAGACGGGAACAGTCGAACCAGGGACTTCCGGTCAGTCAGTTCACGTCTTGACTACTGCGCCATCTCGAGGTATAGGCTATAAAATATACGCCACATCTAAACTTAAACTAAAATAAGTACGGCCACTCTATTACGACCACATGCCGGCGACGTGGTAAACTGCTGCAGCCATCAGTGAATGCTAACACTCAAAAAGTAAAAAGCTCAAGAGTCTCCAAATTGTGTAAACTTGTATAGGACAGTGCTGACCTTGTTATCATTATCAACTACTGGCACCGAACATGTCCGCGTGCTCTGGTGTCAAAATGTTGGGATAGTCGAGGTAGCGGACCACGAGCAGTCTCATCAGTGACCCCCAGCATGGTGAAAGTAGAATTTACCGACTTAGTTGCACTTCTGGTAGTAGTGACCGCATATGTAGTGTCCAAACGATAGTGAGGTGTATTCGTTAGGTAGATTGTTATCAATTAGATTGAGAAAGGAACAATGAAGCAATGACAACGAACCTCAGTTTGAAACCAGCACTTCAATAGGATGACGTCTACAAAGGGTATTTTCAGTTTCGATGCAAGCGATAACGTCGGGATCATTGTCTTTATACGTGCGTTCTGTAAAGCCACAACGTTCCATGGTTGCCACTGACCTGAATTTCAATATAACACTGCTGTCAAATGTCCATGTTTCCCCCACAATGCGCGATGTAGAGAAGCTGAGAAACTCGACAGATGTGTTATCAAAACACCATCCCAGATGGTGGTATGAAAAAGACCAGCAGAAGAGCCAACTGTCAGTACAAATCATTGTGGAATAATCCCAAAGCTATGAAGTCTGATTTGTTTTCGAGTGGCTAGCTACTCGCCCTATTTGAGAGAAATCGATAATCTTTGTTTGGTGAGTGTTTTTAATCACGGTTGAAAGTAGACCTAATAACAATCATATTGCCAGGATCTTCCGTTAATGTACAAGGTTGAGGCGTCATGAATGTTGGCTGGCTTTGCTCCGCACATCCAGTAGACGGATATTAAAACAAAACACCCCTCCGAATTTCCGGTTAATGCAGATGAGTAGTTACCTAGGCCATGACAATGTTTCTAGAAAAAGCAACACACCCCAGGGCTAACTCACCGCATCTTCATCAGCTACACCACATGTATCAGGGCTTCGGTTAGTTCCAGCTGTTACATATTCGGTCACCGGAAAATCAGACAGCGCGGCAGCTGCCAACCCGAGTGACTTTACTGGTTAGTGTTTTCACACTTTCTTGCCAGGTCATACCCTGTCCACCTCCCGGTCACTTACACTCACCACAGGTCTCGGCATAAAGAGCTCTGCGAGTCTGACGGTTTACTGACATGCGGAGTACATGTCCTAACCAACATAACTTTCGAAGCATGTGTAACTTTGCCCTCATGGGAAAGTTCCTTCTTCCTAAAACCATCTAGGATACCTCAGCAGTGCTTATTTGATGTTCCCATCATAACCCGTCAGGGCAAGACACCGATGGCTAAAAACTGACAACCTTCGTAAGTCCTCCGTGCAGAGAGATCACATCTGATTCATAAACCGGTATGGATCTCACTGATGCAGCGTAAGCCCTGCCCTTGACATACAAACTGACGTCACTCCGGTGTCACAAGTGTCAGAATTTGGCCTTCCCGATTCGTGAAGCTCATCTCCAGACACCGATGGCTAAAAACTGACAACCTTCGTAAGTCCTCCGTGCAGAGAGATCACATCTGATTCATAAACCGGTATGGATCTCACTGATGCAGCGTAAGCCCTGCCCTTGACATACAAACTGACGTCACTCCGGTGTCACAAGTGTCAGAATTTGGCCTTCCCGATTCGTGAAGTAATCTCATCTCCAGCCGGTTCACCGGTACTTATACAACTGCCCAGGTGAACGAATTTATCGACCACGTCGATTGGTTCATCAGCAGGCATGATCATACCCAGTCTTGTAGCGGCACTTTGCAGGTGTGAAGTGCATGCCAAGCCGTGAGTCAGAGTTACTAACGTTAAACCAAGGAGGGAAATGTCATCTGCATACTAAATGCCTGTGATCGAGCGTCCCCGGAGCTTTTCGAACCCTGAGGCAGACAAATTTCAAGTAGCACATGAATAAAAGATTTGAAGAGGAGAGAGCAGTCTCATCTTACACAACTGAACGTGGTGAACTCAGGCGAAAGCTTGCTGTGTACTCGTAGGCGTCCATGAGAGTTCGTATACAGTGCCCTCATAAGGGATATAAATTTGGAAGGGACACCGTTGCTCGCCATACACCACCGTAGTCTCTGACGATCGACAGAATTAAAAGCAGTTTTCAGACCATGGAAAACAACCAACGTAAGACGTTTAAAAGAGCGGTGCTGCTCGAGAACTTGTCTCAAGGTCTTCTAAGCCCCGGCTTCTCACGAGTCCATCCATCCTGATAAGCAAAATAACGAGACAGCACTTTCGATGCCACGGATAAAGGCACGATTGTTTTTACATGACGTTCTTGTGCCCTATGAGTGGAGCAAATGTGTAACCAATGCGAGTTAGACTACGTGTCGAAACACTGATGACCTTGATGGCTGTTCTGCGCAGTGGTAACTGGCGACGTGTCCCAGCAGTCGGAGATATCGGAGATAGTAGCAATCAACCGGCCAACACAATGAGCAGAACTGAATGAGATCAATGTTACATATTGAGCGTGGGGTCGATTTTGTAGCTGGGGTTCGACAACCCGAGGAAAGTGGAACGCTGGGGAATAGCTAGGTGAGATTCGTAAGGTGTGAGTGTTAGAACAGCATAGGAGACGATAAGCTATTTTGGAAGAGAACACCATGGATCATTCGAAAAAGTTCATCGGAAGGGGAGACGAATAGGTCTTTAGTTCTAAATAGAAGAGATTCCAAAAGATCTGTAGTCTTCTTGTTGAAGCTATGCTTTTTCAAACGTTGGTCCACTACCTCGCGGTGTTCACATCACTATCAGTAGTTGATGTACGCGGTTTACACGTCAAAAGTATTTTAGATTGCAAACTCTTGTAACCTGGACACCAGCAATAAAATCGACAATACAGTAAATATGTAACCACAGAACACAATCAGGGCCGTCGTCTACCGGAAAGTGCTAATAGTCGCAATACCGAATACGAAAATGCCATCAAAGATACAAAAATTAAGAGGTTAGCTAGAATACACGTCGCATTTCATTCATGACAGGAAATTGGTCTTGTGTGTAGGAAACTGTGAAATGAACAGTCGCCAGAAGGAGTCAGCTGATAATAGTGAACAACTCCGAGTGCGACCAGCTTTCATGGTAAGTGACCACGCCCCTTATGAACGAAGAAATGACTATTTCTCAGCTAGGAAAAATGTATCTCAGGTGAAACTTGGCACTTAAGAAATAGCTTGCCAGAGCACCAGGACCAGGATCGGGGATGATATTCAACCCATTTCAACCCTGTACAAACTTCTCCATCCATCCTCTTCCGGTTACCATTATCAATTTTACAGTTGCACCATCAAAAAATCTCTCCGATTCTTCTCACTATGAGTTACTGTATCCTGAAGCCCTTGCCACCTCTGGATTCACTCTTGACAGTCCGTGACTTTTCGAGTTAACACATTTCTGTGGAAGCAAATTTGCTCATCACTTACGAGGTTGTTCACCTTTAGGTACACAAGGTTCCTTACGATAGTGCTAACCAGTCCTTGTAAACCGTACGCTACGTACTTAAAAGGTGGAAAATGGCACATACAGGGATGCTACTCGGAATATCCCAAGCATATTAGAAAAACAAGCCCTGCTCATTTAAGCTTTTTGATGGTCACCGTAAGCCCATCAATAAATTCAACCAAGTGTACGCGTATGTGGAAATGGGCAGCAAATAGGATACACACAAAAAACGCAAATCAGTAAATAAGGACCGAGTAATGGCACACGTAAATTGACGCCATATTATACAGGTAGACGCGTACTGTTCAAACTATTGCATAAACCTATCACAGGTCACAGCACATCCTGTCGTTTGAAACAATGGTCTGCTAGGATGATACGCATAAAGCAGTTACATTTTCTGACTAGGATATGAAAAGTGAGTACATACCAAAAAGGGGATAGACCGAAGCTCCAGAGACCTGACCGTTGGGGATGTGTAATTCTGGTTTGGAAGGGTTGAGTGTAGGAGTAAGCGGTCTGACAAAACCGGTTACATGAACCAAGGCATAGGATGGTTGCCCAGCTGAGTTTAGACAAAACGCCTGCCGAGGGCGCCACCGAATTCTAGATGAGGCTGACGAGGGAGTTCCAGTTCCGAATTCCAACTGTGATGAGGGATGAACAATCGTTCCCAGCCGCATTCGGCAGATAAAGCCACGTCGAGCCCCCATTCCTCCACGCATGTGAGCTTCAGATCAGAAGCAGAAAAAACACCATGAGACCATTTCATAACCTTCATAAAGGAAGTTCAAATATCGAGTACAAAGTGTCCGATGTGGACCGTGGCTACTAAAATTCAGCTTGCTTCAATTTAGCGATGTGCCCTGTACAGTATGGTACTGACTATAGTGTTCGGCTATCGATGATGGACGACAAGAACCGGTAATATGGTACAAGTGAGAGTGAAAATAAAAGAACCGCATAGGCGAGTTTCACCGCGGCGGACAGTTTAGGTAGGCGGACTTAAAAGCCGAAGATTCTCTCACTTTCGTCTCATACTCGTCTGAATGATCTTCATTATCAGTGTCTGCATCTCCGATAGCTGAAGTGGCCCGAATCCAGTTGCGTACCCCAAAGGGAACGTCAGTAACCAGTTGAAGCCCTCCCACTTGACTCATAATTGGCTTGCAGTTAGTGGACCCAAACTGACACATTGTGAGCACCTGTGCTGAAAGCTTGTACTGGCAAGAGACATGTTGAGCCCACAGCTGAAAGAGCGGCTTCCTGATGTGTTTGGGGCTCTAAATCTACCACCCAACTGACTTTAGCAGTCCAAATGGGCGTTTTTGCCGACCGAATAGGTCGTGAAAGAAGTCAACCTAGTTTCGAAACCGCAACCCGTTGGGGCGTATGTCGGCACAACAACCGTTTGCTGCTTCAGGTTGCATTGATCTTCCGTGAGACAGAGAGACGTAAGCACAAAGGTGATTATTTAAAGGACTCAGTGAGAATGTGATTTTAGCCCTGAAGTTGGGCACAACTACTACGTCGTAGATACTATGACCATTGCACCAGAATCAACAAATATCCGACGGGTGAAATGTGCACCACCTACGTTCGTCATATGCGGTTTGACGTTCATTATTCAGTTGGGGTCTTGTGTACCTGTTCTGGAGACGACACATATCCATAGATAAGAAAAGCGATGTTTGAGTAAGAGATGTCTGTCTCCCGAGTCGACAGACAGTACATACACTAAAAAGTAATATGGGCATTTTAGGATTTGTTGGAGGATTCTTTTGTTTTATTTTATTAAGCGGTAGCTTAGGCATGGGGCAACTGCTGGTTGACCAAGAACTGAATGGACCGAAGTGGAGCACTGGGTGGCAGATGTTACCACTCCGTTGTCTAGACCGAAGGACGTTCGTCTGCAGCGTGAGACTTCCAAAATTCGACTTAAGTCTGCATCAAGCACTAGGGAAATGTAAGGTTTTACTCTGAGAACCTGTGAGCAGCCGCCAGCTTAAAGGCTTGACTGAAGACTAGCGTGCGTATCCGACCAAAACAATTTTTGGGCCCAGTGATCACCGAACACTGGAAGTTTTCTTGTCCGTTCTGCGTAAACTGGTGATGTCTCCCAACCTTAAAGCAACAGAGTATAATTGAGCCTTTGTGAACACTCCGATGACACTATGGCACCAAAGCCGTAAGGGAGTGTTAAAAAACAGCCATGGCTCTTCCCATTATAGAACGGCAAGTCCGCCCTTTGCCAGTTCACTGGAAGTACTGTGGATGTCCAGCCAAATCGTCTACCAACTGGAACGGTACATCCGTATGCAAGGACTTAAGTTTGACCCTACCGGGTACCACGGCGGTACTGCACACTCTGCGGTGTGATGATACTACAACTACAACCCACCTTTATACCATCACCCCATGCATTACGAACTGAATGACGGTAAGCTAGGGCGACGTTATAACGAGGTCAAGCAAGGATGAAGTTTCACACTGAACCAATTGATCAATTTTCTGCAAACAGCAATTAACACCTCGTCCCGACAGCCCCAGAGGGCGATTTCATTACATAACGAGGATTCAGTTTACACAGCAGTGTTTTGCGTCTTTCGTGTTGATATAATCTAATGAGCTGTGTTCATAAATTTCATAAATGGGAACAAACCTTTCGCACTCTGGTTTCACCTGTCTTACAGTTCGTTGGATTTAACCGACAATAACTATTTCAGTCCCTCACTGCTGTATCTAATTCAATGAATTTCGGTTAGTAAAGCTTACGTACTGAAGTGAGACGCCGGGGATGTACGAAGTATGGTTGCAAAATAGGGGTGCATCAGATAACGTGCAGCCAAGCTTGCGAATAAGCATGATCGAGCAAGGCCGGTAGCGAAGCCACATTGAAAACACGGTAATGGTAAACGAAATTTGACATGACTAACAACGAATGCGCTGTTATTGTGGTACGGTGAAGGTCACAGTAATACGCACTGAGATATCCAGTCCATCTGACACCATAAACTTGACTCCGGTGATGGATGATGGGTAACTAAAAGGTGACCGTGTAACGAAGGACTGACAAAAGCTGAGAAGCCAGCATAATTAGTGGAGACATAAGGTGAGCATACGGTACAATATTTCAAAAGTACCCGTAGCCGAACCACACACTCATTTGTATAAACAGGTGAAGACCAACATAAAAAAAAAACGAAATTCCAAAAAGATGATAAAGGACGCGTACAGGTCGAAGAGAGTTCACGTACGGTGGCTACGGAAGGGATACTTTTGACCCACATATGCCGTCACTGAACCTAACGATAACGAACCGAGATCGAGTTTCAGACTCAACGCAGAACTGCGCTCTGTGCCAACATGACAGTCTAACTTTGAAAAAAACTACAAATGCTATTGATGTGGACGGGTCCACTGAACAAACGACAATATGTACCAATTACGTACATTGATGGCCCTCCTTTTTCACAGTCCCGGTTTTGAGATCCAGAATACGCGTTTGACAAACAGACGACGCCATCGAGCTAGGAATGGAGTTTGGGGAGGTGTATGGTTGGCTGACACCTAAACGACCAGAAGCGTAGTCACTATTGGAGGTAGAACCCTGTTTCAGTTCGGGGGGAGTAACGGGCTTGTGAGGAGTAGCTGGAGGACCGCAATTTTTTACGGAGCCGTTGGAAGCACGATCAGTGAGTCCCATGATTGAAGCACCCTGGGCTGGCATAGTATTACCCGTCAATTGTTCACAAATCTTTTCGGCATCGTCTGGATGACATAACTCGTAGAGTGTGTGTTGATACCACTCCGACTGTGTGGAAAAAGCAATGAAAACAGTAGGTACACCATACCGACTATTAAGCAAAGTTAAACGCCCAAAGATAAACCTAACTACTGATCCGACATTAAGAAATGGAAACAAAAAGCTATTACCAGCCAAATAATGAAATATCCTCCCCCTTGGGAGCACTTTGCCAAGGCTCGGTTGACAAAAATCCCTTAAACGTAACTGAAGAAAGGTCTGGTAATAACCACACACGCTTAACTGTCATCAGCGGATCGGGGTCATAAAATACTTGAGAATAAACGGTGGGTCCCAACGGTTGAGAACGAGCGAGCGCCAACTAACGCAACTGGATCTACAACTTTCGTGTCCAAATATTGCAGTGTTATGGGAATGGATTCAATTATTGACGAAGTTGGAGACTTCAGACAAGTGAACACATTAGGTGTGAAAGTAATTTCGAAGTTGGATGAGACCTAGAACAGATTCTGCGAGCCAAATTGCTAGCATAGTTAAAAACCGCGTGGAACCGTGGAAGTCATCAGGTTGCCAAACGAGCTTTTGTCTGCTTCCTGTCGAAAACATACTTTGCAACAGGTTCACATAGTTCCGTAGTTCCACATAGTTCCATAGGGAGTAGATTGAGATTTTTACTCCATTTGGCGACCCCGAAGCATGTGTTTATGCAAACTCAACAGGTGACACTGAGAAGAAAACCTCAATCATGTCACTTAAATTTATAAGTGATTCTATAAAACTACAAGTAACTTAATATTAAACAACATACAGTTGAAGACCGAAAACTTCAGTTACCCTTTCTGGGAAAATATCACATCTTACATGAGGGTCGATGGAATACATGATGACAAACTACCCCGAGATAATTAAAAATCGTTCAGCTGTATCATCCTTTGGTGCTTAGCTGCCACGCCACCGGAGGAAGCACGACGGCTGAGACGGCAAGCAGTCATCTACATGGAGGAAAATGTTCGGTCGCGAAATCCGTTTAACAGGAAGCTGTCATGTGACACAATGGAACCGCAACGATTGAGAGACGGTTCAAGTGGGGGCTGCCGAAATAAAGGAAAATCCAGGCAGAGCAAACAGAAGCATGAACTCACCTGTGTCTGATTCAGGACCGCTGTAACACTGTCGGAAACGTATATAATTCGACCAGTATCGCATTGACACACAAAGAGGAAACCGTCCGCTGCCTATATGAAGTGGAATGAGAAAAAATACATCGGAAAATAAACCCACGGAGGCCAACCAATCAGAAAGAATGTGGCTTGAGCATTGCATAATGTGGACATCACGCCAAAGCGACTGATTGGCTACTTCGAACCGCATGCAGTCAAATCAAGTTACCAGATGAGACTTTTACGGGGTTTCAAAGATTGGAAGACTGTACAGGGGAAAAAGATGAAATCCAATGGACGACCAGGTTTAAAGCACGGTCGTATGGTCTGTTGAGTCAGCTAATTCCTTAGATCCTAATGACCAACAAAAAATAGCGAAAAGCACCGCACACGAGCGAATCGGTCAGCTCAGTAGGGAAGACACTCCTTCAGAAGCCAAGGGTCCACGTAAGGGTAGGAACATCTTACGAGAGGCCAAATAACTACTACTACAAACTGGTCAGTTGGGTATAGTTGCCGCCAGTATCTTCATTTGATAGTTTAACCGCATGCAACTTTGCAAGTGGTGTTCCTCATTTGAAAATTCACGTGGAAAACGAGATGACAAAGCGTCTGCTCGTACGAATCCTCATACTAAAAACTGTTACCTGTCCGCACCAGGGGTTGTCCGCAAAATAGCATCAGCAGCCTAAGTGAACTTCCACAACAACCAACCAGATTTTGTGACTACGCTCACTATCAGGGTACAGAGCTGGGGACAAAGCGACTTCAATTCTTCATTATCACCGACAGCACCGACAACACTGATGCTTTGTTGCCGTAAAACCATGACTCAGTTGAAAGCTTTAGTGCGAAGAGATTAAAGTGAACAGAGAAGGGACTTAGTGCTAGCTTACCACAATCATTCCGAGGTGCCTACACCTCCAGACACACGTTTAGATAGTCTGGATAGAAACTGACAACGAGAACGCCACTCATATCGATTAGCAACCATACTTTGCAGCGCCTCCAACCAGGCGCAGTGGGGTCCCCATCCTGGTAGGTGAGTAGCACCGAAAGGGCCCGAACGTTCCGTAATCTATTTCACACTCCTCTGACAGCTCACGGGTTGTACAACTGCCTGCTTCCACCACTCTGAATTGGGCACGGAAAACAGCATTCTCTTCGTCAAACGGCACGCGCAATACATGACCTAACCAACGCAGCTGTTGGTGTTGGACACATTCTTCAATGTTTCCATCGCACAAATGAGAACAACGGAGAAGTAAATTGTTCAGATGAGGTACCCTTTCGGTGCCTGTCTGCCATGCCACCAGAAGGAAGCACGAGGACTGGAATACTGCCAAGTCGCCTAATCATAAACAGGGGAAGTCCAAAGTCAGAGGCCGGGTTCGAAACATGGACCTTCCGGTCAGTAATTTCGCGCTCTAATCACCGAGACATCTTGTCCCGCACAACTGAGAACTTGCTTTAAAATTGTCACGTTACGAATTCGCTGGCACCAACCCACACGAGCTGGTAGGCAGTACGTGGTCAAGAGACTACTGTTATCTCGTTGGTACTGCAAAAGGACATCATATGATATGACAACCACCAACTTGGGCTTCAGAAGCACTTAGCTTACCTACCTGGGTGTTCACGTCACCAGCAACCACAATGATGGCGAAGGCCGTAGTAAAAGACCATCAAGATCGCCATAGAAACCGTCTTTCGCAGCTTCAGAATTAAAGTTCGTTGATGCGTAAATAGGCAATAAACAGGATGCGATGGACTTCACATTCTAGAGTCTCTCACAGACGTTTCCAAACGAGCCATGGCATTCCTTCGTGGGCAAGGGTGTCAAGCAGAACAGACCGGTCAAAGACCCGACTGGTGACACCACGCGACGGGCTATGTGGCATGAGAACATTTTTATCTGTAGGTATCATGGCTGTACGTGGGCTGGGATACTGCAACGGCGCCCACAACAGAAGGACGATTGGAGTCGTCAGTCAAAACCTTCCGCTCAAAAGCCTGAACGCAAGGAAGTGGTGTTCGGTGGAAAATGAATATGTATTGCCCTTTCTATAGAATAAGTCGCCACATATTTGCCAAGTCCAATCTAAAGGGCCAAAAGATTGGTGATCAAACCCCTAACAATTGACCATAGTGGTATGAGACTCTGTGAGTGCCGCAGAGACACCACCCAGTATAGATCAATGGGTCACGAAGGTGGACAAACTGTCACACCACGGTAAGGTCCAATCTCTGACTTCAGTCATCTGCAGTTTTCTGGAGCCAACAAGGATGGTTACATATGTCTTGCAGAATCACCATTCCAGACCAAAGGGTGATTTAACGGTAAAATGACGAAGAAACCTTAATTTTCTGGACGGATACGCCGATATCCTATACCTCATGTTGTTAGATGGTAAATCTTCGAAGAAGGAAGTTTTAGACTTCCGACGGATCAAAGCAAATGCCACCGTGGATCCTCAGTCTCAGGTTGTCGCTGGATCGGACACATCGCTATTCCAATTAAGCTCGTTTTAAACTCACCATGAGCTTTCAACCAGCTGGGTAACAAGACAGGTGCACCTGCACCTCCAGTTGCTTGCCACACTCATTTCAGATCACCCTGTAAGAACGCCCTTAGGACTTCACCAAAGTCGCAACTTCGGAGACCTGGGTTGTTAGCGAACTCCCTATTTGACTGTTGCGATAGACAATCATACCAGGAATATCATCAGTGTGCGTACATTTACTGTCTAGTTCATGTCGACCACCTAATTGGGTATCAGATGCGCTAAACCTGCTCACTTGCGCATCCGGCAACCACAAAGATATAGGAGCCTTTGGCTCACGTAATAGGGTATTCAGGGCGTTGCAAAACTTGTCTTTGATGGTGTCAGAGCTACAGTCAGTTGGGGCGTAGGCAAACAAGGCAGGCAAACAACGATCAACTTTCCTCCTGTGAAACTCCTTCAGGGACGTTGCCAGATGAACCACACAGAGGCTAATGTCAGCGGATATCCAATCAAACAAGGATTCCTCCGCCCAGTGACCTAGGACGACATCAACCCCTGCTGCAGTAGCCTCAGGATGGCCACAGGTGCGCAGCCGGAAGCGGGTGGAGAGCGACAGAGGACGGGGGTAGCTTAACCCTTGTGCTTATATCTTGAATTTTTGTTTCTGGTACGAGTCTACAAGCGAGTCTACCAAGCGAGTGCAGAGTGAAAGCAACAGCAGCTTGTTGATCTGCTTGCTTCGGAGTGCAGACAGATAGAGTGAGCTTCGATACTTCAAGATTGACTTCGAACTGCCCGAGGATGACGACGCCGGATGACGCGCGCAAAACCTATGCAGAACAAAATGACCAGAGACACGTAGGCTCGATGCGTCATAAACATTAGACCGAAATTCGGGGTACGGGCCATAGTAACGTCCGAAGAAAAGTGGCGATCGAATATGTCGACACTTTAGCCTTAGTAACATTTACGTGGGAGCTTTATAGTTATTGAAAAACGCACGTGGAATCCCTCGTTTAGCATCCATTCTGAACTGGCGACGCTTCCGAGAAGTTAGGTCCATCGGTGCTCCAATCGACCCTATCGTACATACATTTGTGTGCGCTCACACCATTTCTGGTTCACCGGATTGAGTTCACCGATTTCCGTACCAGGTCGAATGCAAAATATTGATTCAGAGAAATTGACAGCCATTTACGCAGTAGCAGTATAATCCAAAGATAGAAATGGATAGACCAAATTGGCGTTGTAGAACGATCAAGGTTGACTGTTCGTCTCATGAGTTAGTTTGTGCCGGACTTCTAAGGATATACCTCAACTAACCAATAAAGATTATCATACTCTCACTATATATGCCACAGATACAAGATAATAAGGTAGTCCTGCTGATCTAACTAAAAAGGACTTGTATGAGTCAAAGTTAGGTAATCCCGGTAGATTTTCCATCCGATAAACCACGCATCATCGAGGCAGACGAATTGAAGGCTATGTGAGTCATTATATTTACATGCTAGAAGGGTCAACAATCGGTGATTGATTTTGTCACGGACACCCTGTGAGGATGTGAGTTGCAGACTGACTTGCTGATGAGGGGTAGTGTAGCCAGGCGATACTCAGTATTGGGGACATTTGTGCAGCACAGAGACCATTTGGTGTCAGCATACAACTACAGCAAACAACCGTCACTGTCAGTGCGTCTCGGGTTCATTCAAAGAAGCGACTCGAGGGTTCAGGCGCGAAACTACTGCTACTACTGGGATCGTGGTTACAACTCAACTCTGGCCATTCAATTACTGCCGCGTAAGCTAGGGCACCCCGACAATATCTCACTTCTTATGATTCACTCATGTTGCACGGAAACTATGTACTGGAGGAAGGCTGCTATAACCGACCGATTTACCTATTTCATTTTTCACTCCAAGACGATCGCTCAGTTGAGTCCAACCAGCCGCGGGTCTACCTACTTCCATATTCATTTCTTCGAAGATAAATAAGGTAACCCTAACACAAGCACAGCATGACTGTCGCCGTGGTGTGAGAGTAGCCTTTACTGTGTGGTTGTACATGGGCTGCGAGGCTGCCAAGATTCACACACCTACATAAAGCGACAATTAGGGTCCTTGATCGAATATCTTCGTTCAAAAGCGTGATCAGAAAACAGTTGTGGTCGGCAGTGCATTTCTGAGGAAAATCCCAAAATATTTCTAACTCCTGACCTGAAGCGTCAACAGGTCATTTGTCAGACCTCTATTCATACCCTAGCCTAGCAGGAATTTCTGTAGGGTGGGCACTCTCCGATATAGCTAAACGGGTCTCTCATTAACATAAAATGTTGCATATATACACGGTATTCTCTTCAAGATATTAATAATTGGGGCGTCGTCACCTTACTTTGGAGAGATAACGTCAGGAAACCGAGCACAAGTGGTCCTTTCTGCATCCTCTAGGTGGGTGTTGATGGTTGAAATACGCCTTGAAGGACCATCAAGTACTCTAAACACGACTGAACGACACGTCAGTCTTCTGCACGTGACGGGTTGAAATAAAACATTCCAGTTTAAATTATGAAGGCTTTCGTGGTGCTCACCAACTGCCGTTCGAACTGCCTGTGGTAAAGTGGTAAGCTCGTGAATAATTGGGCATGGGAGACAAAATGGCGTGCAAAATCTCACCTCTAATACGAGATGTTTTAACTCTTGATCTGAGAGGAAAGAAGGTTTGTAGGAACCATCCACTCCAGTATTGCCGGTGCCTATTTGATGAAGAAAAATAAAATACCGTAATAAACAACTGACGAGGCGAAACTAAAACAGATAAACAAAATACACTCATTTGCAAACAAAGTTGGTTTTGCGAGACTCAACTGGAACCCAGCTGAATCTCTCGTTTATGGTGCTTCTAGGCAACTGCACCAAGACGCCTCACGTTTCAGCTGGGACAAAAGATTGTCAATTAACGCCGACGCATTATCCATAAACACCAGCTAATGGTCCGGAGAGACATCTTCAGGTGTTCGACAATCGTTGTCTCAGAACCATAGCTCGTGTGGGTTGGTGTCGGCGAATCCGTAACGAGACAGTTCGAAAGTGTGTTTTCGGTTGTTTAACGGGTACTTCCATTGAAGAATGTGTCCAGCACCAACAGCTGCGTTGGTTAGGTCATGTATTGCGCGTGCCGAACCATCGTTTGACGAAGAGAGTGCTGTTTTCCGTGCCCAATTCAGAGTGGTGGAAGCAGGCAGTTGTACAACCCGTGAGCTGTCAGAGGAATATGAAGGAGATCACGAAACGCTTGGGTGCTGTCGGTGCTACTCGCCTTCCAGGATAGGGACCGCGCGATCGTTACTGCGCCTGGTTAGAGACACTACAAGATATGGCTGCAAACCGATGTCAGTGGCGTTCTTGTTGTCAGTTTCTATCCAGATTGCCTGAGTGAATGTGTGGAGGTGTAGGCACCTCGGAATGATTGTGGTAAGCTAGCACTAAGTCCGTCCCCCGTCCACCTTTATTCTTTTCTTTACAATAAGGCTTTCAAATAAGTCATGGGTGTACGGCAGTGAAGCATCGGTGTTGAACACTGATGTCATGCTGTCGATGATGATGGTGATCCTGCCTGCTTCCACCACTCTGAATTGGGCACGGAAAACAGCATTCTCTTCGTCAAACGGCACGCGCAATACATGACCTAACCAACGCAGCTGTTGGTGTTGGACACATTCTTCAATGTTTCCATCGCACAAATGAGAACAACGGAGAAGTAAATTGTTCAGATGAGGTACCCTTTCGGTGCCTGTCTGCCATGCCACCAGAAGGAAGCACGAGGACTGGAATACTGCCAAGTCGCCTAATCATAAACAGGGGAAGTCCAAAGTCAGAGGCCGGGTTCGAAACATGGACCTTCCGGTCAGTAATTTCGCGCTCTAATCACCGAGACATCTTGTCCCGCACAACTGAGAACTTGCTTTAAAATTGTCACGTTACGAATTCGCTGGCACCAACCCACACGAGCTGGTAGGCAGTACGTGGTCAAGAGACTACTGTTATCTCGTTGGTACTGCAAAAGGACATCATATGATATGACAACCACCAACTTGGGCTTCAGAAGCACTTAGCTTACCTACCTGGGTGTTCACGTCACCAGCAACCACAATGATGGCGAAGGCCGTAGTAAAAGACCATCAAGATCGCCATAGAAACCGTCTTTCGCAGCTTCAGAATTAAAGTTCGTTGATGCGTAAATAGGCAATAAACAGGATGCGATGGACTTCACATTCTAGAGTCTCTCACAGACGTTTCCAAACGAGCCATGGCATTCCTTCGTGGGCAAGGGTGTCAAGCAGAACAGACCGGTCAAAGACCCGACTGGTGACACCACGCGACGGGCTATGTGGCATGAGAACATTTTTATCTGTAGGTATCATGGCTGTACGTGGGCTGGGATACTGCAACGGCGCCCACAACAGAAGGACGATTGGAGTCGTCAGTCAAAACCTTCCGCTCAAAAGCCTGAACGCAAGGAAGTGGTGTTCGGTGGAAAATGAATATGTATTGCCCTTTCTATAGAATAAGTCGCCACATATTTGCCAAGTCCAATCTAAAGGGCCAAAAGATTGGTGATCAAACCCCTAACAATTGACCATAGTGGTATGAGACTCTGTGAGTGCCGCAGAGACACCACCCAGTATAGATCAATGGGTCACGAAGGTGGACAAACTGTCACACCACGGTAAGGTCCAATCTCTGACTTCAGTCATCTGCAGTTTTCTGGAGCCAACAAGGATGGTTACATATGTCTTGCAGAATCACCATTCCAGACCAAAGGGTGATTTAACGGTAAAATGACGAAGAAACCTTAATTTTCTGGACGGATACGCCGATATCCTATACCTCATGTTGTTAGATGGTAAATCTTCGAAGAAGGAAGTTTTAGACTTCCGACGGATCAAAGCAAATGCCACCGTGGATCCTCAGTCTCAGGTTGTCGCTGGATCGGACACATCGCTATTCCAATTAAGCTCGTTTTAAACTCACCATGAGCTTTCAACCAGCTGGGTAACAAGACAGGTGCACCTGCACCTCCAGTTGCTTGCCACACTCATTTCAGATCACCCTGTAAGAACGCCCTTAGGACTTCACCAAAGTCGCAACTTCGGAGACCTGGGTTGTTAGCGAACTCCCTATTTGACTGTTGCGATAGACAATCATACCAGGAATATCATCAGTGTGCGTACATTTACTGTCTAGTTCATGTCGACCACCTAATTGGGTATCAGATGCGCTAAACCTGCTCACTTGCGCATCCGGCAACCACAAAGATATAGGAGCCTTTGGCTCACGTAATAGGGTATTCAGGGCGTTGCAAAACTTGTCTTTGATGGTGTCAGAGCTACAGTCAGTTGGGGCGTAGGAAACAAGGCAAACTTGTCTTTGATGGTGTCAGAGCTACAGTCAGTTGGGGCGTAGGCAAACAAGGCAGGCAAACAACGATCAACTTTCCTCCTGTGAAACTCCTTCAGGGACGTTGCCAGATGAACCACACAGAGGCTAATGTCAGCGGATATCCAATCAAACAAGGATTCCTCCGCCCAGTGACCTAGGACGACATCAACCCCTGCTGCAGTAGCCTCAGGATGGCCACAGGTGCGCAGCCGGAAGCGGGTGGAGAGCGACAGAGGACGGGGGTAGCTTAACCCTTGTGCTTATATCTTGAATTTTTGTTTCTGGTACGAGTCTACAAGCGAGTCTACCAAGCGAGTGCAGAGTGAAAGCAACAGCAGCTTGTTGATCTGCTTGCTTCGGAGTGCAGACAGATAGAGTGAGCTTCGATACTTCAAGATTGACTTCGAACTGCCCGAGGATGACGACGCCGGATGACGCGCGCAAAACCTATGCAGAACAAAATGACCAGAGACACGTAGGCTCGATGCGTCATAAACATTAGACCGAAATTCGGGGTACGGGCCATAGTAACGTCCGAAGAAAAGTGGCGATCGAATATGTCGACACTTTAGCCTTAGTAACATTTACGTGGGAGCTTTATAGTTATTGAAAAACGCACGTGGAATCCCTCGTTTAGCATCCATTCTGAACTGGCGACGCTTCCGAGAAGTTAGGTCCATCGGTGCTCCAATCGACCCTATCGTACATACATTTGTGTGCGCTCACACCATTTCTGGTTCACCGGATTGAGTTCACCGATTTCCGTACCAGGTCGAATGCAAAATATTGATTCAGAGAAATTGACAGCCATTTACGCAGTAGCAGTATAATCCAAAGATAGAAATGGATAGACCAAATTGGCGTTGTAGAACGATCAAGGTTGACTGTTCGTCTCATGAGTTAGTTTGTGCCGGACTTCTAAGGATATACCTCAACTAACCAATAAAGATTATCATACTCTCACTATATATGCCACAGATACAAGATAATAAGGTAGTCCTGCTGATCTAACTAAAAAGGACTTGTATGAGTCAAAGTTAGGTAATCCCGGTAGATTTTCCATCCGATAAACCACGCATCATCGAGGCAGACGAATTGAAGGCTATGTGAGTCATTATATTTACATGCTAGAAGGGTCAACAATCGGTGATTGATTTTGTCACGGACACCCTGTGAGGATGTGAGTTGCAGACTGACTTGCTGATGAGGGGTAGTGTAGCCAGGCGATACTCAGTATTGGGGACATTTGTGCAGCACAGAGACCATTTGGTGTCAGCATACAACTACAGCAAACAACCGTCACTGTCAGTGCGTCTCGGGTTCATTCAAAGAAGCGACTCGAGGGTTCAGGCGCGAAACTACTGCTACTACTGGGATCGTGGTTACAACTCAACTCTGGCCATTCAATTACTGCCGCGTAAGCTAGGGCACCCCGACAATATCTCACTTCTTATGATTCACTCATGTTGCACGGAAACTATGTACTGGAGGAAGGCTGCTATAACCGACCGATTTACCTATTTCATTTTTCACTCCAAGACGATCGCTCAGTTGAGTCCAACCAGCCGCGGGTCTACCTACTTCCATATTCATTTCTTCGAAGATAAATAAGGTAACCCTAACACAAGCACAGCATGACTGTCGCCGTGGTGTGAGAGTAGCCTTTACTGTGTGGTTGTACATGGGCTGCGAGGCTGCCAAGATTCACACACCTACATAAAGCGACAATTAGGGTCCTTGATCGAATATCTTCGTTCAAAAGCGTGATCAGAAAACAGTTGTGGTCGGCAGTGCATTTCTGAGGAAAATCCCAAAATATTTCTAACTCCTGACCTGAAGCGTCAACAGGTCATTTGTCAGACCTCTATTCATACCCTAGCCTAGCAGGAATTTCTGTAGGGTGGGCACTCTCCGATATAGCTAAACGGGTCTCTCATTAACATAAAATGTTGCATATATACACGGTATTCTCTTCAAGATATTAATAATTGGGGCGTCGTCACCTTACTTTGGAGAGATAACGTCAGGAAACCGAGCACAAGTGGTCCTTTCTGCATCCTCTAGGTGGGTGTTGATGGTTGAAATACGCCTTGAAGGACCATCAAGTACTCTAAACACGACTGAACGACACGTCAGTCTTCTGCACGTGACGGGTTGAAATAAAACATTCCAGTTTAAATTATGAAGGCTTTCGTGGTGCTCACCAACTGCCGTTCGAACTGCCTGTGGTAAAGTGGTAAGCTCGTGAATAATTGGGCATGGGAGACAAAATGGCGTGCAAAATCTCACCTCTAATACGAGATGTTTTAACTCTTGATCTGAGAGGAAAGAAGGTTTGTAGGAACCATCCACTCCAGTATTGCCGG